GGGGACAATAACGGAGTTAACGGAGACCTGAACGCCAACTCGAGGTACCAGAGCACCGGGGACCCGCAGCTGGACAAGTCCGTGCACCAGTGGTTGAGCTGGGACAAGGTGAGTCCGTGTCTGGGTGGACTCCTTCCCAGACCCCCCCCTGAGTAAACCCCCCACTGAACACCGCCGAGCATTTAGGTAAACAAACGTGGGAGCCCCGGAGTGAACATCTGTCAGGTTTGGTCCTCTGCACTGTTTAAAAAATAACTTGAGAGCTGTTTGACCAACAGCACAGGATGTAGGGATTACTGACAAAATACTTAATATCTTTTAAACTACAACATTTGAGTTTATAGACTGTATGCCGATGTTTCAAAGAGACTTACTTTGTCACACCGTATTCAAAGCATCCTCCTTTATCACATTAATTTCGTTATTTTGCCAGAACATTTAAAATGTCCATGTTTTGAACGGGGTTCTGAATGTTGCCGTAGCAGCGGGTCAGTGAGTGAGTGTTGCCCGCAGTGCGGAGCTGCAGGCCGGCTAACAGGCAGGCGGGAGCACCTGTGGCTGGTTATGACTCAGCTGTTTTACTTTTTTGATAACAAGACGTCAGAATTCGACCTGTGCAGATGAATCCATCCTCCAGCAGCCTTCAGGCATCCTCCAGATGATATATTTTCTTCCAAACACCAGCAGTAAGATGTTCAGCTCCACCAAAGGACAACCTGACCTCCCACATGTTGTTTACATTAAATAAACACATTACATGTTTTGCTTCCCTGCTAATCTGGAAACCTCCAGATAAGTGTTGAAATGACTGCATAGAGAATTAAGGTTCACGGTTTTCGGCCAATATTACTCATAATCTGCTGTCCGTATTGACGCTACATCCCCATTATGATATCTGTATTTAAATATGATGTTTAAATTCACACATTCATTTTTTATAAATCTGATAAATTGCCTCTGAATGTTCTGACTTTGGAAAGGTCGTTAGGCCGCTCTGGTACGTACAACTGAGTATCATCAGCATAGACGTTATAAATTATGGGATCCTTGGAAATAAAGTCATTAAAACTTTAGATACCACATGTTTTATAACAATACAATCTCAGATTATTTTGATTATCGATAGTATCAAGAGTAGGCAGCCGTGGTCCATTCAAAGTCACAGGCTCAAAGTCTGACGTTACACAAGTTCTTCAGTCGTCTCAGAAAGATATGTAATGAAATGTCTTTTTGTGCAGAGATGGTGCAGGAGTTTTCCTGCTATTTTTACTCAATAAAACAATATTAAGGGCCAGAGACTTGTATTTTTGTTTCTCTGGTATGTCAACAGGTACCCATATCGTTGGATTTTCATGAGAATTGTATCAAAGTTTAAAGTTCTGGTATCGTGACGGCCCTAAGTGGCCTTTTTTTTAAGCTAAAGAATAAATATAGGCTGTAAAAAGAAGAGGCCCTAGGACGGATCCCTGGGGGACACCACACTGTACAAGAAAGTCTGTTTCTCTTGTTGTCGGATTTCGACATCAAAATTCTGCCAAAAACAAGAAGTCATCCAAAATTGGGTCCCTAGGACTTCTGTTCTGTTACCCTGGTGTCAAACAGATATTAATATAATCTGATTTCTTTACTAGAATCAAAGCTAGAGTAAAAAATGGTGGCAATCTAGAGTTATGTCGTCTGTTGTCAACAAGTCAGAAGCTGCTGCTTCATATGAAGATTTTATGATTGACAGGTGGACCGTGCTTTCACATGTATGTAGGTTAGTGTGCAATCATCACACACACACACACACACACACACACACACACACACACACACACACACACACACACACACACACACACACACACACACACACACACGGCTGTGTAGTTTGTAAAGGTCATGGCTGCCTTGAATGTATCTGACCTCCACTGTAAATGTCAACAGCCTGGTAGGGATTCCCACACACACACACACACACACACACATACACACACACACACACACACTCACTCACTGTTTTTTCTTTGAGAGAATATTTCCTTGAATCTCTCGGGTTCTGTGAAGGTTTCTGACTTAGTTTCTGTGTTTGCGCCTTGAAGTGTTGTTCTGTACTTCTTGAACAGCTGTTACGTTTCAAGAGAAATCTTGGTTCTTATTTTTTAGAGTTTCAGGGTATTGTTAACTTTTCTCATGTTCTGACTCATGCGGTTCTGTCTCTGACTCGTGCCGGTCTGACTCGTGTTGGTCTGACTCGACTCACAGATGAAGTACTAGGTGTAAAACAGCTGATCACTATCGCACCTTTACCAACACAGACAGGACGGAGGGACAGTTGTCAGCAGTGGATTAATCTACCTGTGGGGCAGCAGGATCGTGTATGTGTGACTGAGTCCAGATTAAGAACCTGCTCGGCTTCTCTCCTGTGCTGCAGAACCTGAGGACTCGGGCTCAGGTGGAGTCCCTGCTGGCTGACAGTCATCACGACGATTTGAGGATGAGACTCTGCAGCAGGATGAGTTTCGGCACGGCTGGACTCCGAGCGCCGATGGGAGCTGGATTCAACCGGATTAACGATCTCACCATCATCCAGTCCACACAGGTGAGACCGGTTCGGACCAATATGAGTGCGTTAGTAGTTTCACATACAAGTCATTGAAACTGATGACTCGTAATTAATAAGTAATTATATCTCAGTAAACTGATGTGTTCAGTCAAAACAACACACCTAAAGGCTGATAATAAACATAAATAATAAATATATCGACTGTGTCTAATATATCAAAGTGAGTTAACGGCTATCTGTGTCTCTGTAGGGTTTGTATTCCTACCTGTCCAGGTGTTTTGCAGACTTCAGCAGCAGAGGAGTGGTTGTTGGTTTTGACACCAGAGGGCAGGAGGAGAGCGGCTGCAGCAGCGAGCGGTAACCTTAAACACCCAGAGACACTTAATTTTAGAACTGTTTTTATTTGATATATGGATTTAAGTAATAAAAAGGAAACACATTTTAAAAGTCTCCAGTTGATGTGATGATGTAACACACGATGAACAACTTTCATTGGATGCACTTTGATCCATCAACCAATCACGCTGCAGACGTTACAGCCTGTTTACCTGCTGCAGACGTTGCAGTCTGTTTACCCGCTGCAGACGTTACAGTCTGTTTACCTGCTGCAGACGTTATAGTCTGTTTACCTGCAGACGTTACAGTCTGTTTACCTGCTGCAGACGTTACAGCCTGTTTACCCGTTGCAGACGTTACAGTCTGTTTACCTGCAGACGTTACAGTCTTTTTACCCGCTGCAGACGTTACAGTCTGTTTACCCGCTGCAGACGTTACAGTCTGTTTACCCGCTGCAGACGTTATAGTCTGTTTACCTGCAGACGTTATAGACTGTTTACCCGCTGCAGACGTTACAGTCTGTTTACCCGCTGCAGACGTTACAGCCTGTTTACCCGCTGCAGACGTTACAGTCTGTTTACCCGCTGCAGACGTTACAGTCTGTTTACCTGCAGACGTTACAGTCTGTTTACCCACTGCAGACGTTACAGTCTGTTTACCCGCTGCAGACGTTGCAGTCTGTTTACCCGCTGCAGACGTTACAGTCTGTTTACCTGCTGCAGACGTTATAGTCTGTTTACCTGCAGACGTTACAGTCTGTCTACCCGCTGCAGACGTTACAGCCTGTTTACCCGCTGCAGACGTTATAGTCTGTTTACCTGCAGACGTTACAGCCTGTTTACCTGCTGCAGACATTACAGTGTGTTTACCCTCTGCAGACGTTACAGTGTGTTTACCCGCTGCAGACGTTACAGTCTGTTTATCTGCTGCAGACGTTACAGCCTGTTTACCCGCTGCAGACGTTATAGTCTGTTTACCTGCAGACGTTACAGCCTGTTTACCTGCTGCAGACATTACAGTGTGTTTACCTGCTGCAGACGTTACAGTGTGTTTACCCGCTGCAGACGTTACAGTCTGTTTATCTGCTGCAGACGTTACAGTGTGTTTACCCGCTGCAGACGTTACAGTCTGTTTATCTGCTGCAGACGTTACAATCTGTTTACCCGCTGCAGACGTTACAGTCTGTTTACCCGCTGCAGACGTTATAGTCTGTTTACCTGCAGACGTTACAGTCTGTTTACCCGCTGCAGACGTTACAGCCTGTTTACCCGCTGCAGACGTTACAGTCTGTTTACCTGCTGCAGACGTTACAGTCTGTTTACTCGCTGCAGACGTTATAGTCTGTTTACCTGCAGACGTTACAGTCTGTTTACCCACTGCAGACATTACAGTCTGTTTATCTGCAGCAGATGTTACAGTCTGTTTACCCGCTGCAGACATTACAGTCTGTTTACCTGCTGCAGACGTTACAGCCTGTTTACCTGCTGCTGACGTTAGTCTGTTTACCTGCTGCAGACATTACAGTCTGTTTACCTGCAGACGTTACAGTCTGTTTACCCGCTGCAGATACACGATGAACAACTTTCATTGGATGCACTTTGATCCATCAACCAATCACGCTGCAGACGTTACAGCCTGTTTACCTGCTGCAGACGTTATAGACTGTTTACCCACTGCAGACGTTATAGACTGTTTACCCGCTGCAGACGTTACAGTCTGTTTACCTGCAGACGTTACAGTCTGTTTACCCGCTGCAGACGTTATAGTCTGTTTACCTGCTGCAGACGTTATAGACTGTTTACCCGCTGCAGACGTTACAGTCTGTTTACCCGCTGCAGACGTTGCAGTCTGTTTACCCGCTGCAGACGTTACAGTCTGTTTACCTGCAGACGTTACAGTCTTTTTACCCGCTGCAGACGTTACAGTCTGTTTACCCGCTGCAGACGTTACAGTCTGTTTACCTGCAGACGTTACAGTCTGTTTACCCGCTGCAGACGTTATAGACTGTTTACCCGCTGCAGACATTACAGTCTGTTTACCTGCAGACGTTACAGTCTGTTTACCTGCAGCAGATGTTACAGTCTGTTTACCCGCTGCAGACGTTACAGTCTGTTTACCCGCTGCAGACGTTACAGTCTGTTTACCTGCTGCAGACGTTATAGTCTGTTTACCTGCAGACGTTACAGTCTGTTTAACCGCTGCAGACGTTACAGCCTGTTTACCCGCTGCAGACGTTACAGTCTGTTTACCTGCAGACGTTACAGTCTGTTTACCCGCTGCAGACGTTACAGTGTGTTTACCCGCTGCAGACGTTACAGTGTGTTTACCCGCTGCAGACGTTACAGTCTGTTTACCTGCAGACGTTACAGTCTGTTTACCTGCTGCAGACGTTACAGTCTGTTTACCTGCAGACGTTACAGTCTGTTTACCTGCAGACGTTACAGTCTGTTTATCTGCAGCAGATGTTACAGTCTGTTTACCCGCTGCAGACGTTACAGTCTGTTTACCCGCTGCAGACGTTACAGTGTGTTTACCTGCAGACGTTACAGCCTGTTTACCTGCAGACGTTACAGTGTGTTTACCTGCAGACGTTACAGTCTGTTTACCTGCAGACGTTACAGTCTGTTTACCTGCAAACATTACAGTGTGTGTGTGTGTGTGTTTCAGATTTGCGAAGCTGACGGCGGCCGTGATGCTGAGCAGAGACGTTCCTGTTCATCTCTTCTCCACGTTTGTCCCCACGCCGTACGTGGTGAGGACACACTAACGCGTCCCTTCCTGCTGCAGACACCTGCTGGTCATCAATCTTAGGGGGAAGTTATTAATGTGCTGGTAAATGTGTTTTCAGCCGTACGCTGTGAAGAAGCTGGGCGCGGCGGCCGGTGTGATGATCACAGCGTCTCACAACGCCAAAGAGGACAACGGATACAAGGTGAGAGAGCAGCACAGGTCAGTCACTCAAACACCTCGCTGTCAAACGCTTCTCATTAAACCACGCTGTGACCAGAATCAAACTTTCACAGAATCAAAGATGGCGGGCGAAGTGACAGAGGTGTGACAGTAGGGTTGCCATCCGTCACATAAAATACGGAATCGTCCCGTATTTTACACTTTGATATCGCGTCCCGTTTTGAATCAGTACGGGACGCGGTTTGTCCCGTATTTCCAAGATGCCTTGAACTGAGCATCATTCAGCCGGCTAGTTCCCGCCTCCTCGGAGCGTCCGTTGGTTTGTTTGGTTATTTTTTGGCATGAGCAATGAGAGCTCGTTAGTGATTGGGTGAGAGAAAGTCATAGGAGTCAAAAGGAAACATCTGTCTGTCTCTGATTCCCGCACCGTGCACCATAGAAACTTAAACGGATGCAGAAATACAGACGAGAGTAGAAAGTAATGCCTGGCTGGTGAAAATGAATATAATGTAAAGGAAACTATTGTAGGCCTACTTAATATATTTTCTCATATGTTTATAGATCGGTTATTCCAGTATAGTTTGGATAGTGTGAATATTTTTCGGTACGTAAAACAAAAAGATGACATTTATTTTAGCCTAATCTATATTCACACTATGACCTGGGCGAGATATCATCAATACAACATCAATATATCGACAGTAGACACTTAATTAATACAATAAGAAAATAGTTCAAAACCATATTAATAGTATCATTCATGATTTCATGAGAAAACAAAAAAAACGACAGACAGAAGGACAGAATAAATTAATGAAAATACTATTAAATTCGTACCGTTTATTTAAAAATCTGTAATCTTACTGCTCCCCTCTATGTTACAGCAGTGTCAAAAGCACTTCAATAATACTGTTAATGAGTTTAAGTTAAGTTGTAAATTAAATAGGCCTAGCTAGTAGTAATCATCTGCTGACGTCCTGTTAGGTGCATTTCATTGTGCATACATTACTGTATCTGCCTTTACACTGAAGTTTTGCGTTTTTGTAAATTATTTCCGAAAAAAAGTGTTAATAAAGCACTTAAAACTTTAAGTATGACTCTTACTACTTCATTAAAACCACGTTTTAAATCATGATTCACCACAACTGGTGCCCCACCCCTCCGTTGAGCCAGTGGTGGTCAGGCTCCTATTGAGTTGCACCCCGCTGCGGGGTGTCCTTTATTTTTCTGCTTGGTAAGGTGGCAACCCTATGTGACAGAGTGACGCTGCGTTTAACTGGACGTGTTCATGTTGTAAACAGAGGAAAAGGAACTCGCTGGAGAGCAGAAACGAGTATGAGGCAGTTTTATTACGTGCATCAAGATCTTAGTGATCACATGATAGTAAGTTCACACATCAGCTCACTCTGACCTCACATAGAAATGGCGGGAAAGTGAGAGTGTCTGTCATGCAGCTCGCTCTGAATGTTTCAGGACGCTTTCAGGAGTTTTGGTCGTATGTGATTACTCCATGGATTCAAATGTCTCACATTTCCACAAAGAATGATTTCACTCTTACAGAACTTCCTCCTCAGCATCAGATGTGGCTCCGTGTCTCCCCCCCCCCCCGCAGGTGTACTGGTGTAACGGTGCTCAGATCTCTTCGCCTCACGACAAGGAGATCCTGCGGAGTATCGAGGAGCAGCTGGAGCCATGGAGCGCCTCCTGCTGGGAGGAGGAGTTGGTGCACAGCAGCTCCCTGAGGACTGACCCCCTGAGCCAGATCAACTGCTGTTACATGGACGAGCTCACCTCCCTCTGCTATCACAGGTGAGAGTCGGAGTCCTTTACAGGTCGTCTAAAGACCTCTGCAGGTAGTGCAAAGACGAAGGTAAAGGTAAGGCTTGCTCACCTGTCTCAGGTAAGACAAAGAGGCTGATTGAGCGACGTGTTTTTGTGCGTCTCAGGGATCTGAACAGAAGTTGTCCGTTAAAGTTCGTCCACTCGTCATTCCATGGTGTGGGACACGTCTTTGTCCAGCAGGCCTTCCTCACCTTCGGCTTGGCTCCCCCGATCCCCGTCCCCGAGCAGAAGGACCCCGACCCAAACTTCTCGTCCGTCCGCTGCCCAAACCCCGAGGAGGGGGAGTCGGTGCTGGTAGGAGACGGTCCCGGTTCTTCAGCTGGTTTCTATCACTCAGTATTTTGTTCTTCTTTTGATGATCTTGTTTTTTTCTCTCGTGTGCTCTGCAGGAACTTTCTCTTCTTCTGGCAGAGAAGGAAAATGCTCGGATTGTTCTGGCCACAGATCCCGACGCCGACCGTTTGGCTGTAGCCGAGAAATCTGACGGGTAACAGATGCTTTCTAAAAGAATAGAATAGAGAGAGGAACCAGCACTGGGATGTTTTCATCACCAGTGTTGGCTGTTGGTTTTATTTTTATGATTATTGATCAATTCTATTTTATCATTTCTGAAATTGTTCAGTAAAAAATCCTGATACTTTACATAGTTTGATTTCTTTCCCAGTAGAAGCTGTTTAAACCTCAATGTTGCAGGTGTAGTTGTTTCAGGTGTAGTTGCTGCAGATGTAGTTGTTTCAGGTGTAGTTGCTGCAGGTGTAGCTGTTGCAGGTGTAGTTGTTTCAGGTGTAGTTGCTGCAGGTGTAGTTGCTGCAGCTGTAGTTGTTTCAGGTGTAGTTGTTGCAGGTGTAGATGTTGCAGGTGTAGTTGCTGCAGGTGTAGTTATTTCAGGTGTAGTTGCTGCAGGTGTAGTTGCTGCAGGTGTAGTTGTTGCTGGTGTAGTTGCTGCAGGTGTAGTTGTTGCTGGTGTAGTTGTTTCAGGTGTAGTTGTTTCAGGTGTAGTTGCTGCAGGTGTAGTTGTTTCAGGTGTAATTGCTGCAGGTGTAGTTGTTTCAGGTGTAGTTGTTGCAGGTGTAGTTGCTGCAGGTGTAGTTGTTTCAGGTGTAGTTGTTGCAGGTGTAGTTGTTTCAGGTGTAGTTGCTGCAGGTGTAGTTGCTGCAGGTGTAGTTGTTTCAGGTGTAGTTGTTTCAGGTGTAGTTGTTTCAGGAGTAGTTGCTGCACGTGTAGTTGCTGCAGGTGTAGTTGCTGCAGGTGTAGTTGTTTCAGGTGTAGTTGTTTCAGGTGTAGTTGCTGCAGGTGTAGTTGTTTCAGGTGTAGTTGCTGCAGGTGTAGTTGCTGCAGGTGTAGTTGTTTCAGGTGTAGTTGTTTCAGGTGTAGTTGTTTCAGGAGTAGTTGTTTCAGGAGTAGTTGCTGCACGTGTAGTTGCTGCAGGTGTAGTTGTTTCAGGTGTAGTTGTTTCAGGTGTAGTTGTTTCAGGAGTAGTTGCTGCACGTGTAGTTGCTGCAGGTGTAGTTGCTGCAGGTGTAGTTGTTTCAGGTGTAGTTGTTTCAGGTGTAGTTGCTGCACGTGTAGTTGCTGCAGGTGTAGTTGTTTCAGGAGTAGTTGCTGCAGGTGTAGTTGCTGCAGGTGTAGTTGCTGCAGGTGTAGTTGTTTCAGGTGTAGTTGTTTCAGGTGTAGTTGTTTCAGGTGTAGTTGTTTCAGGAGTAGTTGCTGCACGTGTAGTTGCTGCAGGTGTAGTTGCTGCAGGTGTAGTTGTTTCAGGTGTAGTTGTTTCAGGTGTAGTTGCTGCACGTGTAGTTGCTGCAGGTGTAGTTGTTTCAGGAGTAGTTGCTGCAGGTGTAGTTGCTGCAGGTGTAGTTGCTGCACGTGTAGTTGCTGCAGGTGTAGTTGTTTCAGGAGTAGTTGCTGCAGGTGTAGTTGCTGCAGGTGTAGTTGCTGCAGGTGTAGTTGTTTCAGGTGTAGTTGTTTCAGGTGTAGTTGTTTCAGGAGTAGTTGCTGCACGTGTAGTTGCTGCAGGTGTAGTTGCTGCAGGTGTAGTTGTTTCAGGTGTAGTTGTTTCAGGTGTAGTTGCTGCACGTGTAGTTGCTGCAGGTGTAGTTGTTTCAGGAGTAGTTGCTGCAGGTGTAGTTGCTGCAGGTGTAGTTGCTGCAGGTGTAGTTGTTTCAGGTGTAGTTGTTTCAGGTGTAGTTGTTTCAGGTGTAGTTGTTTCAGGAGTAGTTGCTGCAGGTGTAGTTGCTGCAGGTGTAGTTGTTTCAGGTGTAGTTGTTTCAGGAGTAGTTGCTGCAGGTGTAGTTGCTGCAGGTGTAGTTGTTTCAGGTGTAGTTGTTTCAGGTGTAGTTGCTGCAGGTGTAATTGCTGCAGGTGTAGTTGTTTCAGGTGTAGTTGTTTCAGGTGTAATTGTTTCAGGTGTAGTTGTTTCAGGTGTAATTGCTGCAGGTGTAGTTGTTTCAGGTGTAGTTGCTGCAGGTGTAGTTGCTGCAGGTGTAGTTGTTTCAGGTGTAGTTGCTGCAGGTGTAGTTGTTTCAGGTGTAGTTGCTGCAGGTGTAGTTGCTGCAGCTGTAGTTGTTTCAGGAGTAGTTGCTGCAGGTGTAGTTGTTTCAGGTGTAGTTGCTGCAGGTGTAGTTGACCTTCCTGTGTCTGTCTCACAGGTGTGGTTGGAAGGTGTTCACAGGTAATGAGCTGGCCGCTCTGCTGGGTTGGTGGATGTTCTTTAATTGGAAGGAGGCTCATCCGGATCCTGCAGACTCTCAGAAGGTCTACATGTTGGCCACCACCGTGTCCTCCAAGATCCTGCAGACCTTCGCTCGCATCGAGGGCTTCCACTTCGAGGTGAGACACCCGAACATCCACCAATGAAGAACCACGAGGGCTGATGATCTGATGCTGTGTGTGTGTGTGTGTGTGTGTGTGTGTGTGTGTGTGTGTGTGTGTGTGTGTGTGTGTGTGTGTGTGTGTGTGTGTGTGTGTGTGTGTGTGTGTGTGTGTGTGTGTGTGTGTGTGTGTGTGTGTGTGTGTGTGTGTGTGTGTGTGTGTGTGTGTGTGTGTGTGTGTGTGTGTGTGTGTGTGTGTGTGCTCCACAGGAAACTCTCCCTGGGTTTAAATGGATCGGGAACAGGATAAATGAACTGTCCAAAACAGGAAATGAGGTCATATTTGCCTTCGAGGAGTCGATTGGTGAGTTTCAAAGAGTCCAAGGTGCTGAAGGACTCAGCTGAGGATCCTTCCTGTCCTTCCTTTGTGGTCAAACATCTTCCACAAATCACAACGTGTGTGTTGGTGTCTTCAGGTTTCCTGTGCGGGGGTCTGGTCCCTGAGAAAGACGGCGTAAGTGCTGCGGCGGTTGTGGCTGAAATGGCGGCGTACCTCCACACCAAGAACCTGAGTCTGAGCCAACAACTCCTCAACATCTACCAGACGTGAGAAACTTCCAGTACTGAACCACTCTGTGAATTATTTCATGTCCTGAGTACGTAATGTGTGGGTTTCACCACTTGAGGGCGGCAGATCTCCATTCTGTTTTTAAAGTCGATTTAGATTTTCATGTCATTAGAGTTCCAGCTGTGAGAATCTTTTCCAGAGTGATTAAACACGATGGTGGCAAACGGATTGACTCTGTCCTCTTCTCTCAGACGACGGAGCTTTAAACCAGAGACACAAACTCTGAATCTGGTCCTCTGAATCTGGTCCTCTGAATCTGGTCCTCTGAATCTGGTCCTCTGAATCTGGTCCTCATCATCAGTCTATGTTCAGATCAACACACCGGAATAATTCAGGCACCGAAATTAAACACTTAAGCAAAAGATGAACACCTAAAAGCAAACGCCTGGTACCAGGAGCCTGATCCTGATCCTAGCTAACAGGTCAGACTGGGACCTGGTCCTGTTCCTAGCTAACAGGTCATCAGACTGAGACCCGGTCCTGATCCTAGCTAACAGGTCAGACTGAGACCTGGTCCTGATCCTAGCTAACAGGTCATCAGACTGAGACCCGGTCCTGATCCTAGCTAACAGGTCAGACTGAGACCTGGTCCTGATCCTAGCTAACAGGTCAGACTGAGACCTGGTCCTGATCCTAGCTAACAGGTCAGACTGAGACCTGACTGGGACCCGGTCCTGATCCTAGCTAACAGGTCATCAGACTGAGACCTGGTCCTGATCCTAGCTAACAGGTCATCAGACTGAGACCCGGTCCTGATCTTAGCTAACAGGTCAGACTGAGACCTGGTCCTGATCCTAGCTAACAGGTCATCAGACTGAGACCCGGTCCTGATCTTAGCTAACAGGTCAGACTGAGACCTGGTCCTGATCTTAGCTAACAGGTCAGACTGAGACCTGGTCCTGATCTTAGCTAACAGGTCATCAGACTGAGACCCGGTCCTGATCTTAGCTAACAGGTCAGACTGAGACCTGGTCCTGATCCTAGCTAACAGGTCAGACTGAAACCTGGTCCTGATCCTAGCTAACAGGTCAGACTGAAACCTGGTCCTGATCCTAGCTAACAGGTCATCAGACTGAGACCTGGTCCTGATCCTAGCTAACAGGTCATCAGACTGAGACCTGGTCCTGATCCTAGCTAACAGGTCAGACTGAAACCTGGTCCTGATCCTAGCTAACAGGTCAGACTGAAACCTGGTCCTGATCCTAGCTAACAGGTCATCAGACTGAGACCTGGTCCTGATCCTAGCTAACAGGTCATCAGACTGAGACCTGGTCCTGATCCTAGCTAACAGGTCAGACTGAGACCTGGTCCTGATCCTAGCTAACAGGTCATCAGACTGGGACCTGGTCCTGATCCTAGCTAACAGGTCATCAGACTGAGACCCGGTCCTGATCCTAGCTAACAGGTCATCAGACTGGGACCTGGTCCTGATCCTAGCTAACAGGTCATCAGACTGGACCTGGTCCTGATCCTAGCTAACAGGTCAGACTGAGACCTGGTCCTGATCCTAGCTAACAGGTCAGACTGGGACCTGGTCCTGATCCTAGCTAACAGGTCAGACTGGGACCTGGTCCTGATCCTAGCTAACAGGTCATCAGACTGAGACCTGGTCCTGATCCTAGCTAATAGGTCAGACTGAGACCTGGTCCTGATCCTAGCTAACAGGTCAGACTGGGACCTGGTCCTGATCCTAGCTAACAGGTCAGACTGGGACCTGGTCCTGATCCTAGCTAACAGGTCATCAGACTGAGACCTGGTCCTGATCCTAGCTAACAGGTCAGACTGAGACCTGGTCCTGATCCTAGCTAACAGGTCAGACTGAGACCTGGTCCTGATCCTAGCTAACAGGTCATCAGACTGAGACCTGGTCCTGATCCTAGCTAACAGGTCAGACTGGGACCTGGTCCTGATCCTAGCTAACAGGTCAGACTGAGACCTGGTCCTGATCCTAGCTAACAGGTCATCAGACTGAGACCTGGTCCTGATCCTAGCTAACAGGTCAGACTGGACCCGGTCCTGATCCTAGCTAACAGGTCATCAGACTGAGACCTGGTCCTGATCCTAGCTAACAGGTCAGACTGAGACCTGGTCCTGATCCTAGCTAACAGGTCAGACTGAGACCTGGTCCTGATCCTAGCTAACAGGTCAGACTGGGACCCGGTCCTGATCCTAGCTAACAGGTCATCAGACTGAGACCTGGTCCTGATCCTAGCTAACAGGTCATCAGACTGGGACCTGGTCCTGATCCTAGCTAACAGGTCATCAGACTGGGACCTGGTCCTGATCCTAGCTAACAGGTCATCAGACTGAGACCTGGTCCTGATCCTAGCTAACAGGTCATCAGACTGAGACCTGGTCCTGATCCTAGCTAACAGGTCAGACTGGGACCCGGTCCTGATCCTAGCTAACAGGTCATCAGACTGAGACCCGGTCCTGATCCTAGCTAACAGGTCAGACTGGGACCCGGTCCTGATCCTAGCTAACAGGTCATCAGACTGGGACCTGGTCCTGATCCTAGCTAACAGGTCATCAGACTGAGACCTGGTCCTGATCCTAGCTAACAGGTCATCAGACTGGACCTGGTCCTGATCCTAGCTAACAGGTCATCAGACTGAGACCTGGTCCTGATCCTAGCTAACAGGTCATCAGACTGGACCTGGTCCTGATCCTAGCTAACAGGTCATCAGACTGGGACCTGGTCCTGATCCTAGCTAACAGGTCATCAGACTGGGACCTGGTCCTGATCCTAGCTAACAGGTCATCAGACTGAGACCCGGTCCTGATCTTAGCTAACAGGTCAGACTGAGACCTGGTCCTGATCCTAGCTAACAGGTCATCAGACTGAGACCCGGTCCTGATCTTAGCTAACAGGTCAGACTGAGACCTGGTCCTGATCTTAGCTAACAGGTCAGACTGAGACCTGGTCCTGATCTTAGCTAACAGGTCATCAGACTGAGACCCGGTCCTGATCTTAGCTAACAGGTCAGACTGAGACCTGGTCCTGATCCTAGCTAACAGGTCAGACTGAAACCTGGTCCTGATCCTAGCTAACAGGTCAGACTGAAACCTGGTCCTGATCCTAGCTAACAGGTCATCAGACTGAGACCTGGTCCTGATCCTAGCTAACAGGTCATCAGACTAAGACCTGGTCCTGATCCTAGCTAACAGGTCATCAGACTGGGACCTGGTCCTGATCCTAGCTAACAGGTCATCAGACTGGGACCTGGTCCTGATCCTAGCTAACAGGTCAGACTGGGACCTGGTCCTGATCCTAGCTAACAGGTCAGACTGGGACCTGGTCCTGATCCTAGCTAACAGGTCATCAGACTGAGACCTGGTCCTGATCCTAGCTAACAGGTCAGACTGGACCTGGTCCTGATCCTAGCTAACAGGTCAGACTGAGACCTGGTCCTGATCCTAGCTAACAGGTCAGACTGAGACCTGGTCCTGATCCTAGCTAACAGGTCATCAGACTGGGACCTGGTCCTGATCCTAGCTAACAGGTCAGACTGGGACCCGGTCCTGATCCTAGCTAACAGGTCAGACTGAGACCTGGTCCTGATCTTAGCTAACAGGTCAGACTGAGACCTGGTCCTGATCTTAGCTAACAGGTCATCAGACTGAGACCCGGTCCTGATCTTAGCTAACAGGTCAGACTGAGACCTGGTCCTGATCCTAGCTAACAGGTCAGACTGAAACCTGGTCCTGATCCTAGCTAACAGGTCAGACTGAAACCTGGTCCTGATCCTAGCTAACAGGTCATCAGACTGAGACCTGGTCCTGATCCTAGCTAACAGGTCATCAGACTGAGACCTGGTCCTGATCCTAGCTAACAGGTCAGACTGAGACCTGGTCCTGATCCTAGCTAACAGGTCATCAGACTGGGACCTGGTCCTGATCCTAGCTAACAGGTCATCAGACTGAGACCCGGTCCTGATCCTAGCTAACAGGTCATCAGACTGGGACCTGGTCCTGATCCTAGCTATCAGGTCATCAGACTGGGACCTGGTCCTGATCCTAGCTAACAGGTCAGACTGAGACCTGGTCCTGATCCTAGCTAACAGGTCAGACTGGGACCTGGTCCTGATCCTAGCTAACAGGTCAGACTGGGACCTGGTCCTGATCCTAGCTAACAGGTCATCAGACTGAGACCTGGTCCTGATCCTAGCTAACAGGTCAGACTGGGACCTGGTCCTGATCCTAGCTAACAGGTCAGACTGAGACCTGGTCCTGATCCTAGCTAACAGGTCATCAGACTGAGACCTGGTCCTGATCCTAGCTAACAGGTCAGACTGGGACCCGGTCCTGATCCTAGCTAACAGGTCAGACTGAGACCTGGTCCTGATCCTAGCTAACAGGTCATCAGACTGAGACCTGGTCCTGATCCTAGCTAACAGGTCAGACTGGGACCCGGTCCTGATCCTAGCTAACAGGTCATCAGACTGAG